ACACTCACTCCTAAAAAATTTAAACATCTAATGAAATGTCTTACTATTAGGATATATCCACTTTCCCTCTTCAATTTTCTACAAATATTAGGGAGAATTTTTCCAAATAAAACTAATTTACACTGAAGCACACGTGAAGAGTGATAAATGTTGTGGTGTGAACTGAACCAAGAGTGAAGTTAATATACACTGCTGCCATTTCCAGGATGACATTATCGGCTGCTTCACCTTGTAAGGTGGTGAGCGCTGGGTGCCATCACTGGAAAGCAGCTCACAAACTCAGTGGTGCCAACTGCGCGAAGCGGGAAGTGATGGCATAGTGATAGTGGCCAAGAAGGCACCAGAAGCGCAGGGTTTGTTTTAAAGTCAGGGATGTGGTGCCAAAGTGGAAAAAGAGTGAAAGGAGTTTGAGAGCTGGAACGCCAAAAGATAACTAGCAATTACTGAATGAAAGCCATGGTGTTCTGTTGATGTTTCCCATATATTAGTAGATTTAATCCTATGTGCTAAGTATTTATCACCTCCATTTTACAGATGAGAAATCGGGTTTAGAAAAGTCACATAACTTACTGCCTAATCATTCAGCTATTATGTAGCAGAGAAGGAATTCAAAACTAGATTTGTCTGCTCTCTGGTTCTTCTCCAGTATATTGACTTCAGATTCCATGTGAGCAATTTCACTGTGTGTGTGGGGAGGGGGGGAGGTAGGAGGGGGGTAGTAAAAGCGAAGAAGAGGGAATGAGAAGGAAAAGACTTGGATGATCTCCTATTTATTTATTTATTTATTTATTTTTAAAGACTGCAGGGGTTTTTTTTTGTTTGTTTGTTCTTAATATATTTTATTGATTTTTTACAGAGAGGAAGGGAAAGAGATAGAGAGCTAGAAACGTCGATAAGAGAGAAACATCAACCAGCTGCCTCCTGCACACCCCCCACAGGGGATGTGCCCGCAACCAATGTACATGCCTTTGACCGGAATCGAACCTGGGACCTTTAAGTAGGCAGACCAACGCTCTACCACTGAGCCAAACAGGTTTCGGCTGATTTCCTATTTAACCTACAAAACTGTCCTTGACTTACTTTCTTTCTTTCTTTCTTTATTTTATTTTTATTTTTTTGTCCTTGTCTTTCTTTGTTCAAGTAGTCCCCTCACCTTCTCCAATAGCCCTGTAGCCAATTACATCTATGATTTAAGGTCCAGTTCCAATACCCTCTCCAATACACATCCATTCCCTGATCTCCCATTCTCCCATTATTAGAAGTACCTCCAGTCTAAATTTTCTTGACCCTTTATACTGGCATGTCTACTAACAACGCATGACTTTGAGAATGTTTTAAAATCATCACTCCACAGATTACTTATTAATTACAAAAGAAAAATGAGTCCTTTTACAATATAAATCTAGTAGACATGATACAAATTTCCATCAATAATGAAACTGACATCTCAGGCCTCTATGTGATACATTAAAAGAGACATGAAATCACCTATGTAGCATTCCAGCCCCGAATGCTTAACACGGATCTGATTATGAAGATCAGATGAATCAAACTGAGGGACATCTTACAAAAAAAAAACACTGGTCTGGATGCTTTCTATCATAAGAGACTCAAAAGAAGCTGGAAAAGTATTTTATATACAAGCAGGCAACTAAATACAAAATCCTCAATTGAATCTTGGGTCAAAAACAAAAACGGGCCTGGCCAGCATGGCTCAGTGGTTAAGCATTGACTTATGAACCAAGAGGTCACAGTTCAATTCCCAGGTCAGGGCACATGCTCGGGTTGCAGGCTCGATCCCCAGGGTGGGACATGCAGGAGCAGGTGGTCAATGATTCTCTCTCATCTTTGATGTTTCCCCAAAACAAAGCCATGGCCTGTGTGCTCAGTTGGGCATCGTCCTGTGCACTGAAAGTTTGCTGATTCCGTTCTAGTCAGGCTCATACCCAGGTGTGTGGGCTTCATCCCCAGCAGGGGGTGTGCAGGAGGCAGCGATTAATGTTCTGCTCTCACCTGGATGTTTACCTTTCTCTGTCCCTTCCTCTCTCTAAAAATGTATTTAAAAAATGTTTTTAAATCAATTAATTATTTTAATTAATTAATTATATTAAATAATACAGATATAAAATTTAAAAGTTCAAATTCAATCCAGCATACATGTGTAATACTATTTACAAAATTTTTTAAATGGCTCTGTTTTAGCCTGGCCAGCATGGCTCAGTGGTTGAGCGTCAACCTATGAAGCAGGATGTCATGGTTCAGTTCCAGGTCCAGAAACATGCTGGGTTGTGAGTGTCGAGCTCCATCCCTAGGGTGGGTATACAGGATTCTCTTTCATCACTGATGTTTCAATCTCTCTCTCTCCCTCTCCCTTTCTCTCTGGCATGAAAGTAATTAAAAAAATATATTTAGCCCTAGCCAGTTTGGCTCAGTGGATAGAGAATCGGCCTGCAGACCAAAGGATCCTGGATCCGATTCCAGTCAAAGGCATGCGCCTCGACTGCAGGATCCTCCCCGGCCCCAGCCCTGATCAAGGCGTGTGCAGAAAGCAACCAATGCATGTGTTTCTCTCACATCAATGTTTCTCTCTCTTTCCCTCTCTCTTCCACTCTCTCAAAAATCATGGAAAAATATCCTCAGGTGAGGATTAAAATGTATACATACATATATGTACATATGTATGTAAAATGGATGTTTTATTCCCAGAAATAAAAAACCTAGGGTTAGAAATTAACTTATTCATTTACTGACTCAGCAAATGTTTACTGAGTAGTTATTATGTGCCAGCCACTATTCCAGCTCGGTAGTGAAGACAAAGTTCCTATTCTCACAGAGCTGACATTTGAAAGGGGAGACAAAGGCTGAAATACTAAATAAACATACAAATTATATGTTACCAGATAGAGAGATGCTATAAATAAAATATAGGGACAGGCGACAAAGGATGACAAGAGGACAGTGTAAGGACACAGAAAGTACCCAGCAAAACCTCCCCAAGGCAGCGATTTGTCATACGGCGTGTTCAGCATAAGCTATTTCAGAACCAACATTTGCTTCATAAAAAACTCTTCCTCATCTTTCCATACCACCCCACCCCCTTGATTTTTTTCCAGAAGAAGTTTGCTGCAGTGGTTTTCCATCATTGCTATTACTTGGGGGGTGGAGGGAAGGTCTCACACCAGATGTTGACAGGTGCTTACAAACAGGTGCACATTTCAAGTCACACATATCGTGGGGAAAAAAATGTTCAGTGATTCGTCAGTGAGAAGTCTGATGCCAACATGAAGAAGAACTGCAAAAATTTAAATGGAATTTCAAAATAAATGACTTACCAACTCTCCAATTCTAAATTCTGCACATTTACTTTCTATCAAATATAAAAAGAAGGTAATAGCAATAGGAAAATAAATCTGAAGAGGGGTCCCGAGGCTTTTCACTTAAGGACAGAATGCTTTAAAAGCCACACTATTCATATAATTTGAAAAAAAAAACCAGCACACACTAAAGCTTCCTATCACAGGCTTGCACAAGAGCTTGGAGGGCTCCATACTTGGAACTTGGAGGTGCAATAATACGAACATTTCAAAGCCAAAGCGTTCACTACCCTTTCTCCCTCAGATTATTCTGCTGAGTCCCCAGAACTCTGAATGAAATATCTGTGGTCTATCCTATCTTTTCAAAACTATTCCTCTGGTCTCAGCCAACCAAGTCTTCTCTTTTACTTCCCTCATTACAAAATTCCCTCTTTCACCTACATTTATCATCCTATTTGCTTGTCTTCTGTCTCATTCAATGATTCAAATATTCTTCCAGACAGACTTATATATCCCAAAAGATGTATTTCTATTTCAGGAATACATATAAACCCTGATAGAGTAATACATGTGCAGTTTTATCATCACATAAAATAACAAGATCTAACAGAGGGTCTAGCAATACCATAAATTTGAAGAGATTATAATAAGCATAAGTGATATTTTGAGATACCTGCAACATTTGTAAGCATTATACAATAATATCTATAATTTTTATTGTGACAAAGTCACAGACATTGTTATTTTACCGTGGTTTATTACTTACATTCATAATTGGAGGAAATAATAAATTACAGTTATCCTCATTCTAGCTCAAGGACCCTCCCACACATCCCCCCAACCCCCGACCCCCCCCCCCCACCCACCCTCCACCTCGTAGGTCTATTCACCAACCAACCAGTGAATCTCAGGTTAATTAACAAAGTCTTTCTGGCTCAAATCTTTGCTCAAACTGATTTTTGTCACCAATTAAAAAATAAAATAAAATAAAAAACACTGAAATCTCCTTTGACCTAGTTCTAATCTGAACAAAACATCACACTTCCCTGTTTTTTTATGCAGACTTAGCCACAGAGAGCCCTGTTCATTTCTACGGTGTGCCTCGCCGGCGCACCACCCATTTGAATGCTGCCCGTCAGTAAAAGGTGAGATGGAAGGAAGGGAGATGAAAGCAGCCCACAGACCCTCAGCCCCACACCTCCAACAGCGAATGACAAGATGCCTAGTGTAGAGTGTGTGTTTTTGGCGACTGGGCTGCCCGCCAGATGGGCGAGTCCCGCTTGTCAAGAGATCCCCGAAGCCCGACGACGTCTTCACCGGCGGCTCTCAGAAGACATTCCATCTCCCCCGGCCTCCGGTGCCGGCTCCCTACCTGCTCCGCCCCGCACCCCATCCCCCACGCGACCCTCCCCGCCCCGCCCCGCCCCGGCCGCCCGGCCCCGGCCCCGGCCCCGGCCCCGGCCCCGGCCCCGGCCCCGGCCCCGGCACGCCGCGGCACCTCTCCCCTCGCCACACAGGGCCTCTCCCCACCCCCACCTCCCCTGACACTGGCGGGAAGGACGGGGGTCAGCTGAACCCCTCGGCCGGCCGTCAGGCGCAGGCTGCGGCCCAAGGCCGGAGCAGCCCGGCCACTAGAGACAGGGAGCCGTGCACTCCGGCGCGGGTTAGCGGAGGACGGACACTCACCGAGGGGATCATGCGAAGAAAGGAACCGAGGTCTCCGCCCGATCGCCACCCGGCCTCGGAGCAGTCACCCTCCTCTCCGCGAACTGCCACCGCCGCCCGCCCGCCGTCGCCGCCGCCACTCGCTAGCTGGCTTCCCTGCGTCCTGCGGTGGCGCTGCCGCCGGGCCATCGCGCGTGCGCGGAGCCGCGGGGGCCCCTGGGATTGGTAGTTCCCGCGGGCGGCCAGCGGCGCCCTCCCCCCCCTCCCTTCCGCTCTAGCCTGCCCAGTGGGCCACCACCTGGACGACCGCGGTGCCGCCAAACGCCTTCCGGGGAAATTTGTTCTTCACCCAACGCGGGCTCTCGTTTCCGCTTACGGTACTGCTGAGAAATCCGCGAGTATTAGCGAAAAGTGAAACGATTCAGGGCGCAACCGTCACTTGCCCGGGACACGGCATTCCAAACCCAAACTCCCTCCCCCTGGAGTAGTATCTGGATTTTTAAACCTGATCTCTCACTCCTCGTTTTATCAAATTTGAGTTACTGTAGACTTGACCATACAGTTTAAGTTGATTGACAATTTATCTGTTTAATAATTTCTTTTGCTTATTCACAAAAACAATTCAGATATTTAACTGAAGAGTCATAGAAACCTGAGAGTTGAAGACACCTTAAAGGTCATTGGTCCAACTCTTGCCCGGGCAGGAATTCTCTCTCTTCCACATTCCAGCCAGGCAGTCACCCAATTTCTATTCCCACAGTTCAAATGCCAGGGAATTCACTGCCTGTAAGTAAGGCAGCCCGCCCCAGCCCATTGTCGGACAGTTCTAAGGGTTAGAACGTTCTGCCACCTGCTGAACTGAAATCATCAGCTTCCCTGTGCTGCCTCCCACTGCCAGGAGTTACGCTGCTTGGAGCAATATACAATGTTTCCCACTTGACAGCCTTTCAGAAAGTTGAAAGCAATGATTATATCTCCCAACTCTGAGTCTCCAGGCAAAAAAAGAAAGTAAATATCATTTTTCTATTTCAAATGTGAATAAGCTCCCAGACTGCTTTCCACTTAGTCATCCTCCTTGACGTATTACCTTTAAAAACTGTCAAAATTTGCTTCAGATTTATTGCCTCATTTTCTTACCACAATAGCTGGTCAGGAATTATTGTTCTCATATTTCCATGAATCTGACTCAAGAATTCAATTTGATCAAAGAGTATTTACCAGCTATTATAAAGCATTGCTCAAAGCACCACGGGAATGAAAAAAAAGCAACGGGACACAGTTTGCACTCCAGGGTCAAAGGATAGCTCATGCAGATCAGGGATAATAATAGTAAACTAAGGTACAGAGTGCTGAGATTCCAGCAAAGGCTTCATTCAATTGAGAGGCCATAATCCTAGGAGGACGTGACACTGGATGGTGGGATTTCAAGAAGGAAAAGGGCATGTGAGGATTGTGAAGAAAGAACCCAGCCTAAGCCAAATGTGCACATGAACATGTCCACAGTTTGCTCTCAATACTGAATACCCTAAATGGGCTGGAGCACACCGGCCAGGGAGGAAAAGAAAGGACCCCAAAAGCTGCAAAAACTTTCTGGGGTCTTGAAGAATGCACTGGGAGTGGTAAGTAAAGAGAGCACTGGGATGGTCAATTAATTGTTCTAAGCACTGCCGGTTTGGCTCAATGGATAGAGCGTCGGCTTGGGGACTGAAGGGCCCCGGGTTTGATTCCGGTCAAGGGTTGCGGGCATATCCCTGGTGGGGGGTGTGCAAGAGGCAGCTGATTGATGACTCTCTCTCATTGATGTTTCTAGCTCTCTAGCTCTCTTCCTTCCTCTCTGTAAAAAATCAATAAAATATATATAAAATTTTTTTAATTATATAAACAATCCCACTTTATTCATAAAATTACTGTTCCAAGACTCATTAGAATGTGTTTTGAATTTCTAAAAAAAAAAAAAATTGTTCTGAGACCTATGCTGTCATCTACAAATGAAGAACTTGGTCAGCAGTTTTCAATTGTTTTTTGTTGTTTGTTGTTGTTGTTGTGTGGGTTTGTTTGTTTGTTGGTTTGTTTTTGCATCCAGAACACGTAGTAAGTAATACAGGCCCAGACATCAAACAATGGGTCATTACAACAGTAATTCTTATGGAATATGAGTATGTATTATTATCCCCAAACCTTTTCCACATGAGAAAAAGAACTCAAGGCTAAGAGGCTCAAAAATCAATAAATAATACTCATTGAGGACAGAGAATCCCAACTTTTTATTTTTTTTATTTTTTTACAATATATTTTATTGATTTTTCACAGAGAGGAAGAGAGAGGGATAGAGAGTTAGAAACATCAATGAGAGAGTGTCATCGATCAGCTGCCTCTTGCACACCCCCTACTGGGGATGTGCCCGCAACCAAGGTACATGCCCTTGACCGGAATCGAACCTGGGACCCTTCAGTCCCCAAGCCGACGCTCTATCCACTGAGCCAAACCGGTTTTGGCGAATCCCAACTTTTTAAAAAATTATTTCTGACAATATCTTTTTAAAAGAAATACTTTAATATGTTTTTTATGATTATTATTGACTTCAGAAAGAGGGAGAGGGAGAGATAGAAACATCAATGCTGAGAGAGAATCATTGATCGGCTACACACCCCCTACTAGGGATTGAGCCTGCAACCCAGGTATGTGCCCTGACCCGGAATCAAACCAGCAACCCTTCCATGCAGGGACAGTGCTCCACCAACTAAGCCTTACAGACAAAGATTATGTTATTTTTTAATGGGAAAAACTTTTCTAAAGCTCTAGAGTCTGTAAAAAATAAAAAATTCATGAAGACATATGAGGAAGCAGAAGTATTCCCTCATAAAATGTTTTTGCACTTTTGAATAATCCAATTGAAAAGTAAAGGACAAGAGTTCAGTTGTACATTCTAGTCTTCTGGGCCCTTGGTTGTCCTGTACTGGCCCCAACTGGCAGGCTCAGAAATAGTAGTTAGTAATCAGAGGTCAATTTACTATAAAGCTGATGTAGCCTATAATTTAGGGCCCCTCATTTGTTTGGGGACCCTTTCAAGGTCAGAGGACTATATTCATGTAGTTCATACAGTTTTACCTTTGCCAATGAATTTTAATTTTTGGCTAGGATGAGGACAACTTGAGAATACTGAAAATGAAAATGAGGAAAGTGGTTCCTGTAGAACAGGGTCATAAATCATGCAACTCACACTTCAGCCCATTGAAATCTATTATAAATCTTATTTTTCTACCAGTATCAGTGATGTCTAGATTGATAGGAGCTGTCACCATATAACTTTGGTGCATTACCGTATTTTAATTTAACCCATGATTGATCATAGGTTTAATGAAATTGTATCTTATATATTTTTCACTGACAATGTTTTGTTGTTGTTCTTTTGTATTAATTTTAAAGTTCTTAAACTTTTTCAAACTTCAAGTAAGTTCCTGATAAAGAGATTTTTTTAATAAAAAAAATAATGGAGACCAAAAAGTAACATATAATTTACTCTGAAAAACACAGATATTATGGAAGACTTGACTAAGGGTCAAAGTCTTATATACACAATATAATACTCAGATAATGTACTGAAGAATTGTATACCTAAAATCTGTATAATTTTTTAACTGTCACTCCAATAAAGTCAAAAAGAGAAAAACATAGATATCAATAATTTTAATGGCTATATGTTTTATCATACTGATATACCATGATTATAATTTTAAGACCGAAATTATTTATTTACTTATTAAATGGTAGATTGGGCACCCCTTTTTTAAAAAATATATTTTTATTGATTTCAGAGTGGATGCTCTATCCACTAAGCCAAACCGATTTTGGCAAGAAATTATTCTCTTTTAATAAAAAACATTTATGTGGCCAATTAAGAGAGTAATTAGATGCAGCAGCATTTCCAAAAATCTTTGTCAAATTCAACTTATCACCAAAATTATTTCTCGTTGAAAGAAATCTTTAAATATTGACTCTTAAGAGGTGGAGTTTTTAAATTTTCAAATTACAGTTTACTTTCAATATTATTTTGTATTAGTTTTAGGTGTACAGTTAAATAATCATATACTTTACAAAGTGTTTCTCCTCCCCCCCCACACACCAATATTTCCAGTAAGGTGATGTTCGTGAAGAGCTTCTGAAATATGATTGTATATTACCACTATTCTACAACTTTCCAAGTACTTTTTCATTGGATCCTTGCAACAAGCCGCTGACACAGGCAGACAGAAATCCCTGACATTCAATTGGTGAGGAAGCTGAGGCTCAGGAAGGTTGTTTCTTTCCCCCAAGTTCAAGTGCCCTACCTCTTAAGTAGAATATTCTCTCCAAAAAAGCATATGAAGCCCTGACTGGTTTGGCTTAGTGGATATAGTGTTGACCTTCTGGCTGAAGGGTCACAGGTTCAATTCCAGGCACGGGCATATACCTTGGTTGCGGACACATCCCCAGTGGGGGGTTGTGCAGGAGGCAGCTAATTGGTGTTTCTCTTTCATTGTTTCTAACTCTCTCTCCCTCTCCTTTCCTCTCTGTAAAAAATCAATTAAAATATATATATATTTTAAAAGTATGTGAAAAATTCTCAATTATCAGGGTCTAAACATTCAACTTATCAATTATTTAGGACTTTTCCTTTACCTCTCTGCCTTCATTCCCTTTCAGAAAGGAAGATTTAGAAGCAAAATGACATCCAATCCTAATCATCCCTAATTGCTTAGCTTTCTGAAATCAGATGGGAAATGGAAATTTATTTTCTTACCTCCGGGAACACAAGTGAAGCAACATGGTTTAAATTACTGGATAAACTCTACATTTGTCTATAACCCCTTATTAAAATGTTAACAGACTATATAACTACTCTATATCCTAAAACAAAATCTTATAAACCCGGAGCTCAGGATGACAACCTAGACTACAGAAATTAAACATCAAACTGTCAGTCTCAAATTCTGGCTCCATATCTCCTTAGCTGTGTGATTTTCTGGGAAAATGTCTTTACCTCTTGAAGCTTCAGATTCTTTAGCTCTAAAGTTGAGGTTAAAAATGCTTTCATAAGTATTAAAATAAAATATACATAAAGCAATTAGCTTAGTGTCTAGCACTTACTAAAATATTGATAAATTGGCACTGATAACTATTTTCAACATTTAGCAAACTAGATTTACCTGTACATTTCCCTATTCAATCCACATATGTCCACACTTTGGAATATAACATATACCTAATTTATTGGCTTTAAAAAGATATTACACCTCCAATATGCTCAATTCCCCTCAGAAGTTAGCCAGGTATCACTTTTCTAAATCTTAGAGTTACAAAGGGTTACTCCATCAATCAAAGATGAAGCTGAAATGGAAAGCTTTGTTTTTAATAGAATGAACTGTGATATACAGAGTTTGGTAAAAATATGTTTACAGCTGTGAGTACAAGAAGATTTATTCTTATATTATTATTATTGTATTATTTTCTATACAAAGAACTGTAAATCTACTTTTGCCCCATCTATATACAGGAAATTTGCTCAAATTGATATGAAGCTGTAACGTGGCTGGAGATTTCATTTTTATTGAAATTTTTTTTTCTATTAGAGGAAGTGGAAGGGAGAAAGAGAAAACACTGATGCATGAAATGATCAATTGCTTGTTTCCATACTTGCTCTAACTGGGATGGAATGTAAAAACCTGAGTATGTGCTCTGACTGGGGATAGAAACAGCAGCATTTTCGTGTCCAGTTTGACACTCCAATCAACCGAGCCACTGGGCCAGTGCTGAATGGTGATTTTTATCTTGATACTAGACTGATGCAATCTAAAGAAGGGTCAATGTTACTGTTGTATTACAAGCCCTGTTTGAAGAGATGGCTGATGCAACTTTGATAGTAAGAATGAAGTCTGAGTCACCAGTATAACCATTGAAGAGGAAAATTCCTGAGTACTGACTCCTACACTCAGCATCTTAGTAAACTGTGTGTAAGATGTTTCAATGCTATGTGGACACAGTACTGTCCATACCCATGAATCTCAAAAATACATCTAGTAGTGGGGAATGTATTCACTAATTTAAAAAAATTGCTAAGAGCACTGGCTATGGTGTAATGCTGATTTGGATCCTAATCCCATCCCCTCATAGACACAGCCACGGTGGGGTGATTGCCACAGGGAAGCTGGGAATGGGAGAGGAACAAGAGGGTAAAGGGGTGAGGGTAATAAATGGTGATGGAAGGAACTTGACAGTGTAGTGAAAACAATATGCTGATGATGTATTATTGAATTGTACACCTGGAACCTACATGATGTTATTAACTAATGTCACCCCAATAAATTCAACAAAAGGAGAGGGAAATCCTAACTCCATCCCTTACCAGCTCTATGACTTTTAAGCTAGCTAACCTTTTGTCTCAATGTTCTCACCTAGAAAATGGGAAATGCCAAATGCTGAATTGTAAGGACTGAATGACACGGGGATTGGTGCATAGTAAACCTCAAGTAAATAGTACCCTATATCATTTTCTGCTGCAGAATGCTATACAAGATTAAGGCACCATGGAGAAGGCTTTGTGGCCCTAGCTGGTTTGACTCGGTGGATAGAGCTTCATCCTGTGGACTGAAGAGTCCCAGGTTCTATTGGAGTCAAGGGCACATGGCCGGATTGTGGGCCCAATCCCCAGTAGGGATCAATGATTCTCTCATTGATGTTTCTCTCTCTCCTTCCTCTCTGAAATCAATTAAAAAAAAAAAACTTAAAAAAAAATAAGTCTTCACAATCAATCAGACAAAAAGAGTGAAGGTAGAAAGCTATCTATAATAAAGGATAAGGAAGGTCTTGTGAGTCACAAAGGGAAACGATGGACCAGGAAAGGGAAAGAGAGGGGTAACGTCCACTAGAAAAAGACCTTGTGGGAGGGATGGCATCAGCTCTTCGGGGAGCGTGTGGTCACACTGGGGAGGGGATTCAGGGATAGGAGATAACTCCTTTGATCCGGCCTGTCCAGGGACTTACCAGGGCAATGTGGAGAGGCCTGGTTCAGACAGAGATAGCTGCAGGGCAATGTGGAGAGGCCTGGTTTAGACAGAGATAGCTGCAGGGGAAGCAGGGGAGACATATTGACTAGGAGGAGCCATGATTCGGGCCGGGCGATGCGCAGGTCCCGGCTCGAGGACCAGCGGCCGGTGAGCAGCAAGAGGCTCGTACACCCCTAGTATAAGGACCAGGAGAGGCTATAAAGCGCAGAGAAATTCGTTTTGGGGTGATCATAGCACCTACGCTGAGACCTTGCTGCCTGGGGCAGGATGGAGGCCGAGAAGAGGAAGAGCCGCTTCCTGCTTTGGGATGAAGGGCAGAGGAGAGGCAAGCGGACAGCGGAAAAGCAAAGGCCTGAAGTCCCCACCGTCTCGGGGGTAAAAAAATCAGGACCCAGGCCGGCTCCGGTTCCCCCGAGGACCCAGCGTGGAGGCGGGACCGCGGCGGTTACCGGTACAAACGGCCTCCGGGTGAGAGGTCGCCACCAGGAACGGACAGCGGCTGGAACCAATGGGCCCAGGTCACGGGAGCGGATGCTGACTCCCATTGGTGGTGGCTGGGCGCGACCCGCAGCCAATGAGCCCGCCCTGGGGGGCGTAGCGGTGACGTCAGTCGCGTCGGAAGCTGCTTCGAATCGGTGGCGGCCAGCTTGATGGCCTGGACCAATCAGCGGGCTCCAACTAGCAGAGCCTTGACCAATCGGCGGCCTCCACGACGGGGCTGGGGGGAGGGTATATAAACGGAGTCGGGGGCACCTCGCGGTACTGTCCGAGTCATTACACGCTTTCTGGTTTCTGGGTTTCGCGAGTGCGAGAGGTTAGCGAGGTAAGCGCCGCGGCCTGCTTTTCCTGACCCGGCCTGCGTCTTGTCCACCGCTCCTCCTGACCCCGGGCCCTGTGTCTCCCCCCAGATCGGTTCGCTCCGTGCGTTTCCTTGCTTTGGGCCTGTGCTTGGATTGCGTGCGACGCCCCGCCTGCCTGCTGACCGACGGCGAAGGCAAGATGAAGCTCTCCCTGGTGGCTGCGGTGCTGCTGCTGCTCGGCGCGGCGCGGGCCGAGGAGGAGGACAAGAAGGAGGACGTGGGCACGGTGGTCGGCATCGATCTGGGGACCACCTACTCCTGGTAAGTCAGGGGTTTGGGGCAAAGGAGGATGGGGCTTGTCCCCGTGGACTGCGGTGAGAATGGCTTGAGCTGATTCTTTCCGTTCGGTTTTGTTTTTTTTTTCCTCCCCCCCGCCAGCGTTGGGGTGTTTAAGAACGGCCGCGTGGAGATCATCGCCAACGATCAGGGCAACCGCATCACCCCGTCTTATGTGGCCTTCACGCCCGAAGGGGAGCGTCTGATCGGCGATGCCGCCAAGAACCAGCTCACCTCCAACCCCGAGAACACGGTCTTCGACGCCAAGCGGCTCATCGGCCGCACATGGAACGACCCGTCTGTGCAGCAGGACATCAAGTTCTTGCCTTTCAAGGTTCGGCCGGGGTTTTTTCCACCGGATAGGAAGTGGGTGGTGGTGGTGGCGGTGGTGTGGGAGTATTTAAGATTGAGAACTTACGGAAAAACCGTTTTGAAGACAAAAAAGCATAGAGAGACGGTACCTATAATAATATTTATTCGATAATTCTGGTGTGTTACAAAATTTACCGACACACTTCAGACGTAACTACTCTGTCCACAATAGTTCAAGATTTAAGAGAAGTAGTTTTGGTCAGTATAAGTTGGAAGTGTTGTTGCTTCTGTGTCTGCAATAATAATCATTCTTTAAAACAGGTGGTTGAAAAGAAAACTAAACCATACATTCAAGTTGATATTGGAGGCGGGCAAACAAAGACTTTTGCTCCCGAAGAAATATCTGCCATGGTTCTCACTAAAATGAAGGAAACCGCCGAGGCTTATTTGGGAAAGAAGGTAAGTTTCTCTAGAACGTGTTAAGTATTTTTATTGTTGCTGCCCTTGATTGTGTTGTATAAATGCCTTCATTGTTTTTATAATTTGAATGACATTCTTGTATATCAGTTTTAATTATATGCATACTTTACTATATGCCAAACAAAATGCTGGGGACTTTGCCTGGGTATAAAACTGTATATATTGTATATGATGCCCATCTTAAAAATAAACTAGCTTAGAAACTAAAGTAATGATTTCACTGTAACTGAAATAAGGGTAAGGCCATGTGATAAAAGACAATTACCTTATGTTATTTTTTTAGGTTACCCATGCAGTTGTTACTGTACCAGCCTATTTCAATGATGCCCAACGCCAGGCAACCAAAGATGCTGGGACTATTGCTGGATTGAATGTCATGAGGATCATCAATGAGCCGTAAGTGTTAAATTCAAAGGGATGGTATAGTTGCTAAGTAGAGAAATTGTAAACTTCTCTAACTTACCTGAATTTTTTTTTTTTTTTTTTTTATTCTCCTAACAGTACAGCAGCTGCTATCGCATATGGCCTAGATAAAAGGGAAGGGGAGAAGAACATCCTGGTGTTTGACCTGGGTGGTGGAACCTTCGACGTGTCTCTTCTCACCATTGATAATGGTGTCTTCGAAGTCGTGGCCACTAATGGGGACACTCACCTGGGTGGAGAAGATTTTGACCAGCGTGTCATGGAACACTTCATCAAGCTCTACAAAAAGAAGACTGGCAAAGATGTCAGGAAAGACAACAGAGCTGTGCAGAAACTCCGCCGTGAGGTCGAAAAGGCCAAGCGGGCCCTGTCTTCTCAACACCAAGCAAGAATTGAAATTGAGTCCTTCTTCGAAGGAGAAGACTTCTCTGAGACCCTGACTCGGGCCAAGTTTGAAGAGCTGAACATGGTATGCGCCTTGTTTTTGCTTTGCTGATGAGATCTAGTGAGATTGAGACAATGCGTTTAGAAATCTAGACAGTAAGTCAGTATGACAGGCATCACAATAGTGATTATTGTCTTTTATTCTAGGACCTGTTCCGCTCCACCATGAAGCCTGTCCAGAAAGTGCTGGAGGATTCTGATTTGAAGAAGTCTGATATTGATGAAATTGTCCTTGTTGGTGGCTCTACTCGAATCCCAAAGATTCAACAGCTGGTTAAAGAGTTCTTCAATGGCAAGGAGCCATCCCGTGGCATAAACCCAGATGAGGCTGTCGCGTATGGTGCTGCTGTCCAGGCTGGTGTACTCTCTGGTGATCAAGATACAGGTAGGTCCATGTTGTAAGCATCTTCGACAGTGCTTCAGCAGCTTGCTGGCAAGAGTGTAATTAGCTGTTGCTTTATAAAGCAATAGAATATGAGCAATAAGGTCACATAGCTAGTAAAGGGTACAGTAAACAAGACCTGGTGCAGTTTTAAGATCCTTGGCAACTATATTTATTTAACTGCTTCTAAAATAGTTTTGTATAGAACCTAACCAAGTAGAAAGACGGAGAAGATAAAGTTGTAATGGTCATGGGGAGACTGCTTAGTAGTAATTCTATAACTCTTTAATTAGAAATTAACTCATCATTACCTTTGCAGGTGATCTGGTACTGCTTGACGTGTGTCCCCTTACGCTTGGTATTGAAACTGTGGGAGGTGTCATGACTAAACTGATTCCAAGGAACACTGTAGTGCCCACTAAGAAGTCACAGATCTTTTCTACAGCCTCTGATAATCAGCCAACTGTTACAATCAAGGTTTATGAAGGTAATTGCTTATATTTGTTAATATCATGGTATGTGTGTGAACAACATCACTTATTGCTTTTAATATATTCTATTGAATTGAAAAGAAATATCCGTTTTTCAAATGGGGTCCCTAACTAGTGTTGAATTTGATATAGTTAGCATTAAAATCCAGTTCTTATCTAGCTTCCTAGCACTACTGCCCATTAAAAGTTTCTGAGTTAGCTCTAAATTATAAGAACAAAAAAAAGCTCATGTAAAGCCAGTGAAATTCAATTAAAAGTTAGTAGGAATGCCTGTACGGCATGGCTCAGTGGTTGAGTGTTGTCCTATGAATCAGGATGTCACGGTTCCATTCCCAGTCAGGGCACATGCTCGCAAACCCAGTGTGGGGCATGCAGAAGGCAGCTGATCAGTAATTATCTCTTATTGAAGTTTCTATCTCTCTTCCTCTCTGAAATAAATATATATACATACATACATATATACTACACACACACACACACACACACACACACACACACACACAGTAGGTCCTCTGGTTATGTCGGAGATCCCTTCCTACAGCACAACATAATGTGATTTTCGCCGTAAGTTGAAACTCACCTACTTCACTTGCATGGAGCACATACACAGCAGTAATGAAGTACAACAGTAAAAAAAAAATTTTAAAGATAACAATTCCTTATCTTTACTTGTGGGAAACAAATAATAAAAAACATAAAGCACATATGTCGAAATGACGGGAACTTTTTTTATATATATAAATAAATGGGAGATGGCAATGTAACCACGAAACAACTCTGGGACTGTCTATATAAGTATATAAATATATATGTATAAATACATATATATGTCTGTATATATATATGTATTTTTTAAGGAGTTAGTAGAAACTTAATTCACTTAGTCCATTTGTTGCTTCTTCTAGATCAGTGACCTACTTCTGGCTTGATAAGAACGCCCTTTTCACTGTAGGCTCTGACAGACTGAAATGCAGGGATCCACATGCACGAATGTTGGTCATTAATAAGATTTTTATGTGTCACTTTAGGTGAACGCCCCCTGACGAAAGACAATCATCTCCTGGGAACTTTCGATCTGACCGGAATTCCTCCTGCTCCTCGTGGGGTCCCACAGATTGAGGTCACCTTTGAGATAGATGTGAATGGCATTCTCCGAGTGACAGCCGAAGACAAAGGTACGGGCAACAAAAATAAGATCACAATTACCAATGATCAAAATCGCCTGACACCTGAAGAAATTGAAAGGATGGTTAACGATGCAGAGAAGTTTGCTGAGGAGGACAAAAAGCTCAAGGAGCGCATTGATACCAGAAATGAATTGGAAAGTTATGCCTATTCTCTAAAGAATCAAATTGGAGATAAAGAAAAGCTGGGAGGGAAACTTTCCTCTGAAGATAAGGAGACCGTGGAAAAAGCTGTAGAGGAAAAGATTGAATGGCTGGAAAGTCACCAAGATGCTGACATTGAAGATTTCAAAGCTAAAAAGAAGGAACTAGAAGAAATTGTTCAGCCAATTATCAGCAAACTCTATGGAAGTGCAGGCGCCCCACCTGAGGAAGAGGAACCAGCAGACAAGGATGAGTTGTAGACACTACTCTGCTAGTGCTGTAATATTGTAAATACTGGACTCAGGAACTTTCGTTAGGAGAAAATTGAGAGAACTTAAGTCTCAAATGTAATTGGAATCTTCACCTCAGAGTGGAGTTGAAAATGCTATAGCCCAAGTGGCTGTTTACTGCTTTTCATTAGCAGTTGCTCACATGTCTTGGGGTCGGGGGAGAGGAGAAATTGGCTGCCGTAAAAAATGGATAAAAAGCTGTTTAGGGCGTGTGTTCACCGTGGAAATGTTCTATTTAACAATTGGGTCATGTGCATCTGGTGTAGGAACTTTATTTTCTACCATAAGTGACACCAATAAATGTTTGTTATTTACACTGGTCTAATTTTTGTGATAAGTTTTCTTACTGGGTCAATCATTTAGATTCATATGGGCGGGGGTTATGATTTTGAGGTAACTCTGGGAACTTGTGTAACTTCAATTTAATTCACCCATATCCTCACTTAGGCAAGGATCATTTCACAATGCCCAAGAGTTTCCTTGAATGTGTTTGAAAAGTCCTATTTCCCCTTATCTTTATAAAACTTACCTTTCTGGTGCCTTTTATTATTTTTGGCTATTAATACTTTAGGTTGTTTGCATTTTCTCAAGACTTGTTAGATCACTGATGTTAACTTTATACACTTGAATCATTTTATGGTGTAAAGGGGTGTGTGTGTATATATATATATATATAAAATATATTTTGATTTTTTTACAGAGAGGAAGAGAGAGGGACAGAGAGAAACATCGATGAGAGAATCATCGATCAGCTGCCTCTTGCACATCCCCTAGTGGGGATGTGCCAGCAACCAAGGTACATGTCCTTGACCAGAATTGAACCTGGGACCTTTCAGTCTGCAGGCTGACGCTCTATCCAGCTCTATCTACTGAGCCAAAGTGGTTTTGGCTAAAGGTATATTTTGAATTTCACTATGTTAGAATCCCCATCTGAAATTTCTCACTACCAAGTGCTACTGGAGTGGGAGCTAGGACGGAGACCTTGAAACCATATAAAGCTCCGCTGCAATTTTGGGTGAAAAGCAGTCATTTTTGTCATGACCCGTTCAAGATTATTTGGAGTGGCTTTCTGAGCAAGGGGATGGTCATGAATAAGTAGTATGATCAATAAGGGGCAGGCTATTTGGCACTAACATATCCAATAAGACCCAAGGATAACTTTTTAGATGGGCAACTGGCCAAAAGGTTAATTTGCTAACTGGCCGAACTAGGACCTGACAACACAATTGTGTTACTCTGAGGCCAGAACCTTGGCTGCAATGCCCAGAAGCGTTTGGCTAGGCCTGGAGTTATACTTGTCTTTAGGCCTGGAGTTATACTTGTCTTCAGGCCAAGTTAAAGACAATCACGGCAGTGCTGTGTGCAGTAAGTTCAGTGTGTAGTTGGGGGAACAGTCTTTCCTGACCCCAATGGCTCTCACTACCAAATGCTAATGGTCTGTACCTTTCTGAGGAGCAGCTATTGAATATTAAAAACACAGTTGAACCTGTAAATGCCCACTCTGATTATACAGTTTGTGTTGTACCTAAGAATCATGCTTCAACATTTAGCAACCAATCTCACCTAGATTGTATTGTTGGTAAAAAACCTTTGTTATAGGTTTTTGCACTGGGTTGTCCAATTCATTTCCTCACCTCACCAAAGTAAATAAGAAGATATAAAGTCAGAATATTTTGGAGTTATAAAACAGCTTAGGTTTCGCTTTTTTTTTAGAGTAACTGACATTTAAAAGTATCAAAAACGGTGGGTTTTATTAGTCAATTACAGTTACAATACAGTCATCGTAGATTTCCCCTTCGGTATTCATCCCACCAAACACAAAACAGAGCAGTGAGTCAGCCTGACTGTCCTCATGTGAATCGCCATCTTGAGTCACTCCTTTGTCAGTGGAGTTCCCTTTCTCAGCATCACAATTCAGAGTGACAGGATCTGGATCTTCCTCAGAAGTGCACTTCACTGGCCATGGAATGACACACATGCAATGGTCCAACCGTCCACGGGGTAGAGAAGTATCAAATTTAAGTAAGGTCCAATGCTGCTTCTCTGTTGGGGACCAAAAAAAAAAAAAAGAACAACAAATACTAATAGTAGTATTACTGCTTTGATAAAGTCATTTCCTAAAAGTTTGGTTTTCAATCCCTTGGATTTAGGTGTGGAGAGACCAAGCAGAAACCAAAGCACTGTGGGTACTTAAAAAAAATTTTGTCACATTTGTTTATCAAGACCCATGGCTCTGGTCACATAGCTCAGGTGGTTAGAGCATCATCCTGATATGCCGAAGTTGTGGTTTCCATCCCTGGTCAGGTCACATGGGAGACTCAACCAATGAATGCATAAAGCATAAATAAGGAACAACAAATCAATGTTTCCTTCTGTCTCTCCCCCTTCCTCTCTAAAAATTCAATAAAATTTTTATAAAGACCCAGGGTACACTACTTACCTGTGTGATATTGGTACATTGTGTCCAGCGCTCCTGTGGGAGTCATCCCTCCGAAGACATACAGGTGTTTCCCCACAGCCACAGCCGAGTGGGCAGCACAGCCCGTGGGAGCTGCCCCCGTGGGATTTAGTTTCTGCCACTTCATGTTGCCTGCCAAGAGAAAGCAAGTGGGCACTCCATAGCCTGGAACGTGCTTTCAAACTGAGCAGATTCCTACAGTTCACAAACCAGTCGCTGAAGGTCACTGCCTAGGAGCTCAGAGGCAATACAGCAAGGTTAGTGTGCATACAAGTTCCTTGGGGGTTGAGGGGAGGGTTGAACTCCGGTTTGGGTCTCCAGGAAGGGGACTTAATCTATAGTTTTAAGGAGCATTCCAGATAATTCAGATGTAGGTGGTCTTCAGAGAACACTGAGGTCATCTTTGGTGACTATCACCTTTAGCTATCTTAGAGCCCAGAAGTAAGTGAGGTTACATGTGCATGCATGTTTTAAATACTAACAGTTCCTTAGAAAGCATCTTTGCCAAGTACTAGCTAGACACTTTAAATATCTTGCTTGCTTAATTCTCATAACGGCCCTATGAAATGGCTATTGCTTTTGCTTTCCCTCTTTCTTACAGATAACAAAACAGGATTAGAGAGGGAAAGATACTTGTCAGAGATCCCACAAGTGGCAGAGTTAGAATTGTACTCGGGTCAGACTCCAAACCCTATGTTCTCTATACTGTAACTTTCTCTTCCAACCTGTTTCTGCATCTTTTCAAACAAGCATTTAAATGAGGCTGGGAATCACTGGCCTTTAGGGTTTGAGATCCATCTGGTTAGGAAAGGGGGGGGGGGAGCCAAGAAGTAGTTTCTCCACACAAGGACTTTCTTTTAAAAAAGTAAGCATTTAAATCTCTTTTGATGGCCTGCAAGAAACACTTCTCTGAAGATATTTTTCATCTGTCAATTCAAGACAGGGGTCCAGAGTTGGAAGGGAGAATCACCCAGTTCTGACAAAATTCTAGTCAATGCAGGAATCCCAGCCAGTGCCATCTGGCCTCAGATGTCACCAAACCAGAGAACCCATTGTTTGGCAAGGTAGATGGATACACTGCACAGCAGTTCTCATGCCTTCTGTCCTCCACTGTTCCAATTCTTGTAGTCTGGATCAACCGAACATGTTCATGTGTTCGTCCATCTATCCTTTAAAGCGGTCGCCACCAGTGGTCCGTGAGGTCAGAAAGGTTGGTGACCGCTGCTTTTACAGATAAGCACTCATCACCCAGACACTGAGCTAAGTGCTACAAATATACCCGGGAATAAAAGAGATCAAGTCTCTGTTCTAAGGAGCTCATAGTCTGAAAGAAGGACCCAGAAGGAGTCCAGGCTTTCTAGGGCACGTCAGCCCTTCAGACACCTTAGGACAATTCTCATGTTCTTTCTCCCTTACTTTTCTCTTCCCAGTGTTTTTATTTTTTTCTCCCAGTTTTTTTTTTTTTTTTTTTTTTTTTTTTAATATATTTTATTGATTTCTTTTTACAGAGAGGAAGGGAAAGAGATAGAGAGCTAGAAACGTCAATGAGAGAGAAACATCGACCAGCTGCCTCTTGCACACCCCCTACCGGGGATGTGCCTGCAACCAATGTACATGCCCTTGACCGGAATCGAACCTGGGACCTTTCAGTCCGCAGACCGACGCTCTACCGCTGAGCCAAACCAGTTTCGGCTCTCCCAGTGTTTTTTTAGTTAGCATGACAGTTTTGGTCACCCACCTCCAAACACACTAGAAGTTGTCCATGCCTCTCATGGGCCTGGGGTTAATGGCTAATGCCTGGAAGAAATCCAGTTGGGAAACACAAAGTATAAGGAATTTTAATGAGAGAACAGGATTGTTGGAAGGATGAGATAATTAATAGCTAGGTACATAGCAAAAGCTCAGATGTGATTGCTTTTATTGTTATTTATTAGTAGTAGTATTCAGGCCACATTTGACAGACTAGCAAAGATTCTGCTGGCTGAACAAGTTACCCACAGCTAGGATTAAGGCTATATTCTAGCAAAGCACATTTTATTTAGTTATTTTTAAATTTCTTCATTGATTAAGGTATTACATATGTGTCCTTATTACCCCCCCAAACTCCTCCTCAAGGCACATTTTATTTCATTTTAAGCAGACAAGCTCCCATGGCCTCCACCCTACTTACTTATATCGATGCAGTGAAGATCATCATAGAATCTGTCCCCTGCCAAGCCTCCATGGATGAAGAGCTTGGTCCCTGCTGCCACCATCACATGACCATGCCGGGGGGATGGAGGTTTTCCAAGTGTCTCTGGCTGTGACCAGGTCAGAGTGTCTAGAAAAGTAAACTTTTTGCTATCAGATGACAAAGCTATGAAGCAAGAACACAGGAAATACACCCAGAAAGCAGAGATGCTCCAAGCAGAAAGTGACGACCTTGGAGGCATTCACTCTGACCCATCAACCCGATCCAGGCCTCCCTCTCTCCACAGCCATGCAGCCTCAGCTTGGCTACTCCTATGGCTGGAGAGTTCACGACCTGACATGCCTGCCCTTTTGACAGGGCATTAGGAAATCATCCCCACGTTTCAATTTAAAAAGACCTCCATCTGGTTGAGTCTAGATCATGTGGCTTCAAAGTTCATGCTTTCAACCACTAAGATCTACCCATACCCCTGCAAATAAAGCTGCAGAACAGTATAAATTTGATTCCATGTGTGTGTGTTTAATAATTTCAAGATTCATACTTGTTCATATATACTTATATACATGATTTACAAATGCATAGGGGAAGTCTGGAAGGAGAGATTAGGAACTGCCAAGAGGGTTTACCTCTGTCTGGGGAGGGAAAAAGAAAGGCTAATGGAGGAACTTTTATCTTTTTACTTTATAAACTATACTGTTCCAATTTTTCAAATTGACCATTTATACCTTTTTAAATGCAAATTTTGCTGTGGGAAGAAGATATCAGCTAAGGCTTATACTGAAGAAGTCTAGAAGTGAGACACTCAGCCAGGATGTCATTTTCTTTTCTTTTTTTTAAATTCTCACTTGAGGATATTTTCCCATTGATTTTTAGAGAGAGTAGAAGAGAGGGAAAGACAACCGGGACCGGTTTGGCTCAATGGATAGAGGGACTGAAGGGACCCGGGTTCGATTCCAGGCAAGGGCATGTACCTTGGTTGCAGGCAGATCCCCAGTAGGGGGTGTGCAAGAGGCAGCTGATCGATGACTCTCTCACATTGATGTTTCTAACTCTCTGTCTTCCTTCCTCTCTGTACAAAATCAATAAAATATATTAAAAAAAAAAAAAAAGAGAGAGAGGGAAAGACAGAGAGAAATATCAATGTGAGAGAAACATATCAATTGGTTGCCTCGTGCACGCACACCGACCAGGGCCTAGGCCAGGGAGGAGCCTGCAACCAAGTACGTGCCCTTGACCGGAATCAAACCAGGGACCCTTTGGTCTGCAGGCTGACGCTTTATCCACTGAACCAAACCGGCTAGGGCCAGGATGTCATTTTCCTTTTAACACATTTTTATCGATTTTAGAGAGGAAGGGAGAGGGGAAAGAGAGACCGAAACATCAAAGATGAGAGAAAATCATTGATCTGCTGCCTCCGGCACAACCCCAGTGGGGGTCGAGCCTGCAACCCGGCCATGTGACTGGAACTGAACCCGAGACCTTTCAGTCCGAAGGCTGACGTTGCTAGGGCGTGATGTCATTTTTAAAAAAATTTTTTTTTAGTTTTTTGGTTTTTTTTTTCTTCTTGTTTTTGGATGTCATTTTTTAACCTCTGCTTCCAACATCGGATAAGCGGTGAGCCAGGGAAGTGGCAGCCTGTGTTCCCACCCGTCCATACTTGCGTCAAACACATGAAGCTTCACATCCTGCACGGGCTGGGTGCCTCTCTCTCCGCCCCCAAACACATACAGCTGGTCTCCAATGGCTGCCGAGGACGTGTGGAATGTTCTTGGGGATGGTAGGGGGGTGGTCGCCTCTGGCATGGTCCAAGTCCCGGTTTCTGGTCCAAAGAGAATGAAGGCACCTAAAATAACTTGGCTTTGGATATAGGCTGAGAATTGTTTCTAGAGCTACAGAGCTTGGAGAGCTTTTGGATCCTGGGGGGAGTTAAAAGGCCCACAGTCTTGCCGGCACCGGTTTGGCTCAGTGGTAGAGCGTCAGTCTGCGGACTGAAAGGTCCCGGGTTCGATTCCGGTCAAGGGCATGTACCTTGGTTGCGGGCACATCCCCAACTGCAAGAGGCAGCTGGTCGATGATTCTCTCTCATCGACGTTTCTAGCTCTCTATCCCTCTCTCTTCCTCTCTGTAAAAAAAAGAAAAAGAAAAAAAAAGGCCTACAGCCTTCAGGGTCAGAAGGCTCTGGGGATTGTGTTGCTGCCAAGTCAAATAGTAGCACGAATAATCACAAGCGAGCTCTAAGCCATTTGACAGACTTTTGTCTTAGCAACAAAAGCAACTAATGATTCACTTTCATTTTTCCCATTTCTTGGGCACCGTGTCAAATTATGCTTTCTAGGAGAGAAAAGGGATCTAGTGGAAAATCAACTCCTTTGACAGACACATTCCAAATTCTCAGTGTATTTTGTTTAAACAGATGCCCACCACTGAAAATCAAAAAGCCAGGGTTTAGACGGATTTCCATCTGCCAAACTATAGCTGCATTAACCACAACAACCATTATTGGGCATTAACCTGGTGCCAGATATTGAGTTAATTTAAATCCTTGCCAAACTCAATAAGGAAGAAACTATTAATATCCCAAAGTGGTAGAGAAGACCAACTACTGTGCAAATAAGTCTACTATTGACAGAGGAACTGGGCAAGAGTTCACTGTCATGTCCAAGTTACTAATAATCACCAAAATGAGTATTTAAACAAGATGTTTTTGCCTAATCCAATTAGCAGTGTTTAAAAATGACAATATTTAAACATAGCTGGAGATAAGTTCAAAAAATATTTCTGGCCGAAACTGGTTTGGCTCAGTGGATAGAGCGTCTGCCTGTGGACTGAAAGGTCCTAGGTTCGATTCCAGTCAAGGGCATGTACATTGGTTGGGGGCACATTCCCAGTAGGGGATGTGCAGGAGGCAGCTGGTTGATGTTTTTCTCTCATCAAAGTTTCTAGCTCTCTATCCCTCTCCCTTCCTCTCTGTAAAAAATCAATACAATATATTTTTTTAAAAATCTTTCTATAGAGCAACTTGGTAGCACATATCAAAAGCCTTAAAGTTTACAAGGTTTTGTGTTTTTTTTTTTTAATTTTCATTTCTGGGCATCAATTCTAAGAAATAATTTAAAATACAGTCAGCCGGGACCAGTTTGGCTCAGTGGATAGAGCGTCGGCTTGCGGACTGAAAGGTCCCGGGTTTGATTCTGGGCAAGGGCATGTACCTTGGTTGCAGGCACATCCCCAATAGGGAGTGTGCAAGAGGCAGCTGATCGATGATTCTTTCTCATCGATGTTTCTAACTCTCTATCCCTCTCTCTTCCTCTCTGTGAAAAATCAATAAAATATATTTTAAATAAATAAATAAATAAATAAATAAAATAAAATACAGTCAATGTCTTCTGAACAAAGAGGTTCACTGCTCTGTTATTTATAATGGCAAGAACCTGAAAGCAACCTAGATGTTAAAAAACAGGAGAATTATTGTATTGTCATAAAATGGAGTGTTATGCAGCTATTAAAACTGATGTTAACAAAGCACTGTTGTTAATAAGACATAATTTATGTAAGTAATTATGAAATTAAAAAGAAAAAGGTACAATGGTGTAGTGTGAAAATAGTATGATCTCAGGTTTATAAAAATGCAGACAAAAGACAGAAAGAAAATACACAGAAATGTTAATAGCCTTAATGTCATAGGATTATGGATAGTGTCTGTCCACTTACACTTTTCTTCTTCTTTTTAAAAAAAAATATTTTATTGATTTTTTACAGAGAGAAAGGGAGAGGGATAGAGAGCTAGAAACATCGATCAGCTGCCTCCTGCACACCCCCACTGGAGATGTGCCCACAACCAAGATGTGCCCTTAACGGGAATCGAACCTGGGACCTTTCAGTCTGCAGGCTGACGCTCTAGCCACTGAACCAAACTGATTTCGGCACATTTACACTTTTCAAATGTTTTACAATGAATGTAAATTACTAAAGGCCTGGTACATGAAATTTGTGCACAGGTAGGGTCCCAAGGCTTGCCCAGTGAACAGGGCTGATCTAGGGGGTAACCAGTGGGGTAATTGGGGGTCCCCACTGGCACCTGCCTTGGCTGGCCTGGGGCTTGCGGGCTGGGGGCAGTTCCTGCACTGAGCACCTGCCCCTTGGTGGTCAGTGCGAGTCATAGTAACCGGTCGTCCGCCATTCAGTAGATTTGCATATTAGGCTTTTATTATATTGGATATGCATAAAGAGAAAACAACACTATTTTAACTGACAAAAGACAGTCCATCTCCCATGGGTGGTTCAGCCACACCTGCTCAGCAGTGATATTCCTAAAATGCCTCCTCTCTGATAAAATTGCCAGAGAGACTAGCAGGAACTTTGCACTTTTTGGCCACAAATTATACCAGGAGGATCTAGGTCAGGCACTGTTGGCATTTTAGACCAGATAATTCGTTATTGTGGGGTGCTGTTCTGTGCAGTACGGGATATATAGCAAGCATTTCCGATCTCTGCCCGGTAGATGCCAATAATAAACTCCCCTCAACCTTCCCAAGTTGGGATAACCAAAAATGTTTCCAGATATAGCCAAATGTCCCCTGGGGAGCACAATCATCACCCACCCTGAGCTAGGTAACAGGTTCTAGCCTGACTCATACTCCCTCGAGACTTTAGGCAAGCCACCTACCCTGGATCTGGAGTGCCCTTGGCATAGCTGTTCTCTGAAATCCCTTACAGCTTTGGCTCTTAAGAAGCTGATAACTGAATATGTTACTAGGAAAACAAAAGGCAATTCTGCTATTTTCAGATTCTGCTAAAAGTTAAAATTCCTGTTTTCTCTGAGGTCAGCAAAGTTCAATGGATAATTCAGTACAATCCAAATGGGATTTGCTACAGGAAATGAACTGAAATTTTATTTATTTAGGTAAATAAGATAACCTTTGGCTACTTACCAGGATTCAGAACTTGTAGGCAATTTCGATTTCCTGACTGGTTGGCACCTCCAAACACCCAGATGCTGTGAGGTGTGCAGGAGGGAACGAAGCTGGCATGCTCATACCGCGGCAAGAGGCCCTCCGAGGTGGTTGAGTCCCACTGGTGTGTTTCTAGAAAACATTTCACCCAGTTTCTAGATTGGGGCTGCAACTGTTTAGATTTCTTGGCAAACTTAGGGGAGGGGAGGGAAGAGAAAACAGTCAAAAGCATAAATGAACCACCATCAGATCACTTAGAAGGAATGTGGTCAAACTCCAAAGAGTTCTGTATTAGACACTTCAGGGGCTATCCACAAACCCTTTTCTATGGAAACTGTCCCCATTTTCCCAACCACAGGAAGTTCTGTTTGTACTACAACACCTTGACTTTCTAGCCCTAGCTGATTGTACTACAACACCTTGACTTTCTACCCCTGGCTGATTGGGTCAAAGGTAGCCTACTTGACCCCATGGACCAATCAAATACTCCCTCCCAAGAGTCCAGAATTCAAACAAATTCCTGGATTTGGGTGGCCATCTTTACTATGTGTGGACAGGCAGAGAGAACCAAAGTATGGAGGAGAGAAAAAATATCTACATAAACAAGGTCTCCCCAAAGAGAGTGAGAAAGTAGTTTTTTTTTGTCGTTCGTTTGTTTTTTTACAGATCTGCAATTCCAGCTTCCTCTCTCTCCTGAGATGAGATGAGGCTGTATTTCCAACCCTTGGATTCCTCTCTTTACTGGTTTAAAAGAGTTTGTTACTCACAACTGAATTATTTCTGGCTAACACAAGTTCACAGAATAATAATACTTAACCCATTAGTTATTTTAGCTAATAAACCATTTACATAGAACCTTCATAGGCCTATTTTATTGGATCATTACAACCGTAAGAAAACCAATTTTACAGGATATTGAAACCCAGCTGGTTTAGACAGGTTAGCCAGAGTCACAAACTAGGAAGAGGTAACAACAACAATGTAACTGAACTATTATAGAAAGTAAGCTTCTTGGGGACTAGAAGAAATTTATTTTACCTTTGATTCTGGTGCAGGGTGTAGAAATTCAAACGCCTACACAGGAGTGGAGGGAATGTGGCAAATTGGAGCCTGAGAGAACCATCAACAGGTGGCAGTCAGCTCCAAATAACTGTTGCCATGTAGACACACACGCTTACAGATGCCAGATCTTCCAAAATTATCAAAAGAAGCCAAACCATTTTGATTTTTATATGTAGACTTTTGCACATTTGGTTGCTAAACAACTCAGATTAAAACAATAACAACAATGTACGCGTCAGCAGTTTTCTTCTGCCATTGTGTAGAGTACATAGTAGTTACTACTCATCAGTCCATCCATACATTCTAATATTTATAAAGCACCTACTCTGTGCCAGGTGCTATTGTTAGTGGCTGGGACTACAATGATGAGCAATATAGCCATGTTTCTTGTCTCCAAGAAGCTTATACTCTTGTGGGGAAGACAGATGAGAAACAAACACACAAGAAGGGAGATTTGGATGGGAAAGTACAGGATACTATGAAAATATAGAGGGTGGTTGTGACTTATATTCAGAAATATATATATTTGATTTCCTTAAACCCTTAGAACTTCCTAAGTGGTAAGATCAGTAAAGGTGTCTTATGCAACAAGCCCCGGTCAGTCACACCTCAGTTTGCCAGGGCGGTGACTTTATAGTAGTAGTGGAAATGGACAGACATGGATGAAGAGAGAACTATCTAGGACTTAGTGATTAATTGGATATGTGGGTGGAAGAGGAGGTGCAGTCATCAATGTCTCCCAGAGAAATAGTTGATAAATGAATGGCTGGATGTCCAGGGCTCCATACGGACTCTTTCTCTCTCAAAACACGATGTATTGGTTGGGCGCTCTGCTGAGACCTTAGGGACCTCTGAGTAATGTTCATTTTCTTAGAGGAAAACTCGGCTGTGTGTTCTGAACTGGTGTTCCTAGGCATGCTCTGGTCCTGCCAGCACCACAAAGCCCTGCTCTCTGGCTACAGGCACATGCCTGCCGCTGCTAGTCTTACCCAGGTCCATGGTGTGCACATCTGAGAAGCTCCTGTTTGGATCTGCTCCCCCAACAATGAAGACCTTCCCTCTCTTGGCATCACCAACGGGGGGTAGATACGAGCAGCTGTGGCCAACCCGAGCACATGGGCTGTCTCCAGCGGGGGTCAACGTGTACCTGCCAAAGGAAGGACGTATTCAGGAGGCCCGAGCAGAGAAGAAATGCAGCGGATGTGTTCTTCCTATTCCTCCCGAAGTATTCCTAAGAATGAGGGTCTTTTACAGACACAGAACACTTTTAAACTGTGTCCGGCAAAGCAGCATTTCCACTTGCACATCACCTTTGACTTTCCCATTTTGTTATTACTTTCATCTGACATTAACCTAATGGCGATGCACTGGGGTAGTAACTGTCCCCATCTGGTAGATAAACTGACCCCCAGAAAAAACATTCAGTGGAGTGTCCGAGCACAGGATGGTAGTTCTGAGCATAGTTTGTGAATTCAGACGAACCCAGTTCAAATTCCAGTTCAGGTACTTTCTAGATGTCACCTTTTGGAAGTCACTTAACCTTTCTGAACCAAAAGTTCCTTATTTGTAAAATGATAGCAACAATGCTTGCCTGTGAAAAGTAAGATGAAGTCTTGAAACAGTGCAGGGAAGGACTCAGTAAATGGTGGCTAGAGCTTTATGGGCAATCACACAGGAACCTACAGCCCCAGCGCTCTTGCCACAACTAGACCGTGGTGCTTCCTGCTCTCAAGTAATATTCACCAGAGTTTACTGATTTTAAGAGCTGATGGAAACCAAAGCTAGGAGTTTGGAAAGTCAAAACTCTGGTTTTGACCCTAGGACCAATGGGGAGGCACAAAAAGGTTTTAAACTAGGGAATGCCCTGGTCAGATTTATGTGGTGTAGAGGGCAAGAGTGGACACAGGGAAGCCAGACTGAAGACTCTCTTCCAAGGTCCTGCAGAAGCTCTGCCCCAGCCATCTCTACAGCTTTCTGTGGCCCCTGCTTCAGCACGGATCACATCTCATCACCACCACCTGCTTCATCCGTTAGCGCCCACGTCACTGAGACTATGCACCTACACAGCAGCTGCCCCTGTCAAGCCAGTGTTAGTTATGGAATGAAGGGTTGATGGAGCAAGCAGCCAAGAGCCTGGGAAGCCAGTTAAATCCAAAGTTGACTCCCTAAATATCTTAAAAACGAGTCACAGCGTGGTGGGGAGACACAGTGCTGAAGCTGAGGATGCCAGATGGTCAGGGCCTTCCTCTTCCTGCTAAGTGAGCTTTAATAAAATCAACATCTGCTCTGATAATTACTGCCCCCCTACCTGTCCTCTGAAGACCTCCTCACATGGTTTGAGGCTAATTACCAGAAACTGCAGACAGTTTTATCTCTACCCCTTTCAATAGATGTTTAAATATGTTAGCAAACCACCTATAAATGAAAAACTTATGGTTTTCACTGTCTGAATCCTTCCTTACAGACCATGTTGCTTTCCTGGGCTTGTCTCCTGGCTTCAAGACTGGCAGCTGCTTCATGGTGTCCTACATACAAGAAAAGAAAAGGCACTTTTTAGAAATTTATGATGATCTTCTGTCTAAAACACAAAATTAGGTCACATCCCTCTTTAAAACCTTTCCTGTTGATGTACCAATTTCTAGGATCTGATACATTTGAATAAGCATTGCCAACTTTTTAATAGCAAGTTATACGTGAGAGGCAAATATAAACACAACTACAGAAGAGTTTTGGCTCAAGTTTTCAGTGTCTGCCCTGGCTGGTTTTGCTCAATGGATAGAGCATCGGCCTGCAGATTGAAGGGTCCTTGGTTCGATTCTAGTAAAGGGCACATGCCCAGGTTGTGGTCTCGATCCTCAGCGGGGGGTGTGCAGGAGGCAGCTGATCCATGATTTTCTCTGTTTCTCTCCCTTCCTCTCTTAAATCAATACAAATATATATTTAAAAAATATATAGTGTTCAGTGTCTATAATTTTCATGCAGAAGAGGCATACATCAAAATACATTTTCAGAGGTCAAGCTTATGTTTATCAAAAGGTAAAACAATTCCAAAGGCTGACAAATGCAGAACTCTAGAATAAATCCTGGCCTCATCATCACATTCAAAGCTTTCTGATCTCAAACTTTTCCCCAGAAACTCACTCCACAGTTTCCTGCTATATTTTTTGTTCCTCTAACATGACAAGCCCTTTCATACCTTGCATCTCCCGCTGCTTTCCTTACCTGAAATGTTCCTTTCCTTTCTTTCACCCAGCAAACTCCTAGGTCACCTCCACAACCCGGTTGGAATGAATGAACCCTCTTCAGTAAAATCGTCACTGTTTTGCTGCTTTCCACTTAACATCCTCAAATTACTTCCTTCCCCCTCCTAAGGTATCTATTAAACCACCATCACTGCAGGGATCGGGTGAAAGTAATTCCCTGCCTTGAGACCAGATTCTTAGGCTAAATTCCAAGAGAGCTGGGCCTGTCGAATTCCTTCAGAAAACCTACCTCTGGGTTCCGGCACAGAGTAAAATTGAAGGATAAGTGAATGAAGAAAGTGGACGAGATTTCTGGGAGATGAATGGATAAATCCAACCTTGGCCTTAAGCCACTGGCCCCAAAGCTCAATGGGATAAACTTCGCGTGGGCGGGGATATCTCCAGTCTCTGTCCCCGCGTGGCAGTGACAGGGAAGAGGAGACAGGGTCGGGAGAGAACAGGCCCGCTCCTTTCCATCCAGGAGCCCAGGCCAGAGCAGGAGGAGGCCCTCTCCAACCCGGCCGGGGCCCACCCCCGCTTCCCTAAAGGATCAGGCCGCCCCCACCCCAGGATCCTGCCCGAGGAACCCCCCAAGTCCCAGACCGACCGCATTACCTGCAGCGGTGGGACCGGTCCCGAGCTGTGGCTCCGCCCCACGTGGGCGGGCCTTAGGCCGTCACCCAATCCCAGGCCCCGAAAAAGCGAGGCAGCCAACTGCTCCCCTCCGCCCCCCTCTCAGGGTCCAGCCCCCAGGGATCGCCCTTAAAGGGGGCGGGGTCCTCCGGGCTGGGACGTAGACCATGCATTTCCGGGGCACCAATTAAGCCTGCAGTCCTCGGGGTCTTCACCTGCCCGCGGAGTCAGAAAGCCAGGGGCTACTTGGAAAGGATTTACAAGAGAAATGCTGGAGGTTGGACGTCCCCGTGGGTGACCCGATTGTGGGCTCTCCTAAAGGGGCTGGGACATTTCCAGTTCCAGCGGCTGTTAGAAATGGTTAGGAAAATGGAAGCCCAGAGCTGCCCAAGAGAGCCCGCCTGTACATGAAGCCAGCACAGGAAGTAAGAGGGTCAGGAGGTGGAGCGAGCCTGGATCCAGCCATGCCTGAAGCCCACATCACCTCTTTGAACATTTCATTTATGTGAGCGAGAAGTTTTCTTTCTTAAGCTAATTTGACTCTTTCATTTGACTCCTAATAAATGACCTCTCGGTAAGAGGGGGAAAAAAAAAAGGAAAAAAAAAAGGAAATGGTTTCTGAAAGGGAGAGGTAAGAATGCTTTCCTGAGTGAGAAATCTCGCTGCGCAGCCTGCAGCCTTTGGGCCAGTTCAAGTTTTACCGCCTTCCACGGCTGACTCATTCCAGAATTAGCGAGTATAATAACCATGGCAGGCACTATGGAGAACCAGGCAAACAAAGTCCCGGCCCCCTGGAGTTTACAATCGAACTAGAGAGAGGGGTTAAACAAGAACAAACAACTAGGTACATTTGTAAAAAGTGCAAGGAATAAAAAGTCCATCCATCAGAGTAGCTATCCTTGGGTAAGTTACTTTCCTCTGGGCCTTGGTGTCGCTCCTGTAGGATGGAGCTAAGATTTCTGTCACGAGGTTATGATGGGGAGTACATGAGCTAATGTATTTAGAGGGTTCAGTGCCCAGCCGCTGGTGCAGAGCTGGTCCTCCGTGAAGTGTAATGTTCTTCCGAGTATAAACCAACTCGAGACACAGTCCTCAGTGGGAAGTATTCATCTGCATTATCTCTGGGCTCCATAACCATCGGTTCTCTGTGGCTTTCCTCACAATGGAGAGGTGGCTCACCTATGTCTATGTTTTAGAGAATCTCAAAACCACTTAGAAGGGTTGAGGCCAGTTGTATCCTAGGAAACAGCCACGAAAAAAAAAAAAAAAAAGCAACAGGAGCTCCTTAAGTACAGCTATGGGAGCTTAATGGGAAGAAGAAAGACACACTTGGGTTCAAATCCAGGCTCCAGCATAAACCATCTAACCCTGACATTTGGCAAGTTCATTACCCACTCTGAGCCCTAGTTTCCTTCTCTCTACAATGGGGAATAGTAATACCTACCTCCCAGAGGGAGCAGCTGTGAGGATTTGATCATACCAAGATTTACCAAGGTGAAAAGCCAACTTGGGTAAATCTTCTAGCTACAAAATGAAAATTTATTGACAAAATGGAATGTGAGGTCTGAGCCCTCCTCACTGTTCAAATACCCTATTTCAAACACCTGGAGTCTTTGTGAATGCTCATATTAATGGGAAATCTCCATTGACTGTCTTCCTGAGAGGAGTTTAGGAATATTCAGTCATTCTGATTTCCTTCAGCAAAGAAAACCAAGGCCAGGTTGGCTCTGCCATATGCTCATGTGCGTCTACATGGACATTTTTGCTCAGAGCTGCAGGATGCTTTGACATCCCCTATGTCTTTTGGCTAGATCCATTTCAAGGTGACATTCTGGAGTTGTGCAAAAACAAAAATTGGAAGAAGTTTATGGGTGAAAGAGCAACCAGTTTTAATTGTGGAACCTCTGCTTTTAGAGTAGAAATTACATTTCAGAAAGTGCTGGAAGGAACTTTTTAAAAATATATATATATTTTATGGATTTTTTACAGAGAGGAAGAGTGATAGAGAGCTAGAAACATTGATGAGAGAGAATCATCAACCAGCTGCCTCTTGCACACCCCCTACTGGGGATGTGCCCGCAGCCAAGGTACATGCCCTTGACCAGAATAGAACCTGGGACCTTTCAGTCCGCAGACCGATGCTCTCTATCCACTGAGCCAAACCGGTTTCGGCAAGGAAGGAACTTTTGAGATCTTTTTTTATAACGGAAATCAAGGCCTAGAGAAATTAAAATGACTAACTCACATATATGGCAGAACCAGGAGCCCACATCTCCTGGTTTGTGCAAGGAAGATTAATAACATATTCCAGACAGCAAGCTCCTCATACTGGCTCTGTAAGAACTATCCAATGTATCTATTACCTCTTCTAAGGACCTTGACCACACTCAGGGATGCTCTCTTTGCTCTAGATGTCAACAGTGAGGTTCACTGAATGAGATGGGTCTGCAGAATGGAGCTTCTTAATGCCAGTTTGGCAATGTGAACACTACCACCTATTTTCACTAAAAGGGGATACCATCTGCTTTCATTACCTACCTGTTCACTGACTTATCAGCAAGGGAACCAATGATGCTGGTGACACCTTCTTTTCCAGCACTTTATTTGTCCTTCCCAATTCTGAGAAGGTATTTTGGGTAAGTTCATTCCCAGTTACTGAGGTTCAGAGATGAAAAGTGATTTGCCAGCTTTCCAAAAAGGACTGTAATTAAAAAAAAAAAAAGTCAAACAACAGTAGTATCTTTTGCTCAATTGAAAGTTGTTTCAACAAGAAACTGAGCATGTCCTCCCTATACGTTTTCTCCCCTAAAGTCTTTTTTTTTAAAGTAAGTTTTTTTTATTTAATTATTATCTTTGTACATATACCATCCCCCCCCCCCATAAGCCCTCCCTCCCCATCTCCCCTAAAGTCTTAAATGTTACCTCTTCAGAAAGGCCTTTCTTGTCCACCTGATACTCAGAACTGACACATTGCACCCACTCTGTACAAAACATTGTTTTAAGCCCTTCCCATAGTAACTCTATTAAATGTCAGTACAAGCTTATAAGCAGTATTCTTGTCATCACCACATGAAATAACACCGTTATTACAATTTCCATATTGTAACTGAGTAAACTGAACAGAAAGGGTAAATAACTTTGCCAAAATAACATAGTGAGTACTAGACTTGAACTCTGGCTATCTGGTCCTTGAGTTGGTTGGAGCATTTAAAAAAAATCCTCACCAGAGGACATGCTTTTTATTGTTTCTAGAAGGAGAGGAAGGGAGAGAGAAACACACACAGAGAAACATCGATGTGAGAGAAACATCAATGGGTCGCCTCCCGTGCACGCCCCACGGGGTTCAAACCCGCAACCCAGGTCTGTAGTCCTGACCACAATCGAACCGCAGCCTTTTAGCGCAGGGGATGATGCTCCAACCAACTGAAGCCACCCGGCCAGGGTCAGACTAACCTAGTTTTTACTTAGAGATGTTCGGGTGAGAGAATGTTTAAATGGGTCAAAGTGAGGAACTGGGGAATAGCTAAGGTTACCTACTTCGTTGTTTTGCTCGGAAAAGCTTCGCTGGGTCCCCTCAGAGGTGCAAGTCTGGAGAAAGAAAACGTAAGGAAAACAGGAGTATCTAGTATTAAAACTACAAATCCCAGCCTGCCCTGCGGCAGCCAACTACGGGTCCCGGCAGGTTTCATTGTCCCGGAGGAACCCCTCAGAGCCCGCCGCCGGAGTTCCGCGGGAGAAGGCGTGGGGCGTGTCCAGGCGGCGGGGAGACCTAGGTCAACCTCTACGTCGCCGCGCCGTCGTCTCTCACGAGCCGGACGTGACGCAGGGAGAGTTCCGGCTTCGGCCTCTGCCGCTGCGGCCGCTACTTCAGCCGCCGCCGCTACCGCCACCGCCGCCGCCGCCGCCGCCGTCGTCGGGGCTAGTTCTTCCTAAAATGGCGCCCCTCGACTTGGACAAGTACGTGGAGATAGCGCGGCTGTGCAAGTACCTTCCGGAGAACGACCTGAAGGTAGGCTCGGTCGGGGCGGGAGCGCCGCTGGTCGGGCTCGCCCCTTCCGGCAGCGGGGCGCCCGCCGGCCCGCCCTTCTCGACGCGGGACCCCCGCCGGCCTCTCGCCCGGTCTCGGCGGGGGGCCTGACGCGGCGCTGAGCGACCCGGTCCCTTTTGGCGTCTCGCTGAGGGCGGGGGTGGTCGGAGGAGCCGGAGCCCCCCGAGTGCCGTCCCGGTTCCGTAGCGGGGATCCTGAGGGATGTCGCGGCCTCTGCCCCAGGGTCGCCGCTCCGCCGCAGGGGCTCCGAACCCTGACAGCCGTGCAAAGAGGACTGCCCTCCGCTGACCCATCCCCGGTGTCCCCGAGTCCGAACCGTGCCCTCGGGCTGGGGTCATCCCTCCCGAGGCGGTGACAGGAGCGCGGGGGCCGGCGGGTGACAGATGCCCGGGCCTCGGGAGCGCGCCGCGGGGGCCGAGGCGGGAGAGAGAGCACGGCCGGGCGGCCCTCCCTCCGGCCCCGCCGCCGCTCCCCGTTGTTCTTCCCCGGGGCTGGCTTTCTCCTGCCCTGTCCCTGGAACCCCGTCTTCCCGGGCGCCGTGAGCTCAGTTAAGCGGACAAAGCTCATTTAGGTGGACCATTTGCTAGTCCCTCAGTAAATTACAAATGCTTTCCTGTTTTTTTAAGTTGTTCCTCCATGACCCCTTCTTAACTCAGGATTGCATTTTCTTGGTTTCCTAAAAGAGGTGAGTTTTTTGTTGCCGCCGAGTCCAAGGAACAGTGTGTGTGTGTGTGTGTGTGTGTGTGTGTAAAGGAATGAATGGAGGTCTTTTGACAAGTCTTTCTGTTTTTGTGCGTTTGTGGAAACTAGGGCTTAGGTGCCTAGTTAGTGCTACTCTCTTTTATTTGCTCAATTAGCATTGATTTGTTTGCTGTGGGGTAAGTGGGTAAACCGTCAATAGTTTTTGAGATTGCTTTAATTCTTTAAGTTGTTTTTTTAAAGCAATTTATCTTTGTGAATTTATTTTTCTCTTAAGTAAGATGTTGCTCTGTGTGTGTGTGTGTGTGTGTGTTGTTTTTTGTTTTGCGGTCTCTTTTGGTACAGGTTGATATTTAACGACAGCAAAAATGCAAAATGTTGAAAGCCAAAGGTGCTGTTGTGAATGTAACTTATTTGTACTTATAGGTAAATGATGTGCATTATATTATAAGGGAGTCATTCCTGTGTGCATTTTCCCCTTAATAGGATAATTTAAAATGAGGACAAAGCCAGTATTAGTAGAAATGTAGCTCTCATGCTCATCTGAGTCCTTTGTGGCTTCTTAAAAAATTTTTTTAAAATTGTTTAAAGTATTACATGTAGTAGTACATACATCTCCATTTTTTCCCCATTGACTTTCCCCCAGCCTCCCCTATCTCCTGTCACGTGCCCTCATCCCACCCCCCAGTGTCTTGTGTCCATTGGTTGTGCTTACATGCATGCATACAAGTCTTTTGGTTGATCTCTTTCCTCCCCTCCCCAACACTCCCCTGCCTTCCCGCTGTTAATTTGACAGTCTGTCCTGTGCTTTACGGACTCTGTATCTATCTTTTGGTTCAACAGGTCATAATGTTCTTTATTTTCCATAAATAAAGTGAGATCATGTGGTATTTTTCTTTCATTGCTTGGCTTGTTTCACTTAACATGATGCTCTCCAGGCCCATCCATGCTGCTGCAAATGGTAGGAGTTCCTTCTTTTTTACCGCAGCGTAGTATTCCATTGTGTAGATGTACCACAGTTTTCTAATCCACTCATCTGCTGATGGGCATTTCGGCTGTTTCCAAATCTTAGCTATGGTGAATTGTGCTGCTATGAACCTAGGGGTGCTTATATCCTTTCTGATTGGTGTTTCTAGTTTCTTGCCCTGTGACTTCTGAAGGAAACAAAGATACAAGCAACATTGGGACCCAGATCATGGAAAATAACCGGACATCTTTTGGTAGCATTGTTTATCCGGAGAAGTGGGGTTTTGCATGTCAGAGAGTTGAGGTGAAATTTTCTGTTCTTTAGCATATAAAGCTGTTTTAAGCTTTGTGTTTATATTAGTAAAATGTTGCATATTATAAAAATATATGTTGAGCCGAAACCGGCTTGGCTCAGTGTAGAGCGTCGGTCTGCAGACTGAAAGGTCCCAGGTTCGATTCCGGTCAAGGGCGTGTACATTGGTTGTGGGCACATCCCCTGTAGGGGGTGTGCAAGAGGCAGCTGGTTGGTGTTTCTCTCTCATTGACGTTTCTAGCTCTCTATCCCTCTCTCCTCCTCTCTGTAAAAAATTAATAAAATATATTTTTTAATAAAAAAAACTATATGTTGATACTAATTTGAATTGGATATTAAAATGATTTGGATGATAATAAGTTGGATTTTCTTTAGACCTCTTAGTTTGATAAACAGATTTCCTTCCCACCTCAAGGAAATATATATTTTTTAAATACTATATTTTATTGATTTTTTTACAGAGAGGAAGAGAGAGGGATAGAGAGCTAGAAACATCGATGAGAATCATCTATCAGCTGCCTCTTGCACATCCCTACTGGGGATGTGCCGCAACCAAGGTACATGCCCTTGACCGGAATCGAACCTGGGACCTTTCAGTCTGCAGGCCGACGCTCTATCCACTGAGCCAAACCAGTTTCGGCTCAAGGAAATATTATTAAACCATTTCATTTCCCCTTGCAACACAAAATGGACTGTATTTGGCATGTATGTTTTTTAAGAAATTAAAAAAAAAAAATCTGGGCAACTACTGGGGAAAACTATGAATTTTTCTTTTAAGCAAAGGCTTTTTTTTTTTTTTTTTTGTCTTGGAAATGTTTTTGTCAAATTAATTTGCTCTTTGGTATATTTAAAATAATTTAAATTTGATTTTACTTCTTGGCATGAAGTGCAAACTAAAATTAGGCAGGCCAAGAAAGTATTCCAGGAGCACCTTTTCAGAGACTTTAAAGCCAAAGTAAAAGATTCTGTGAGGAAGGAAAGTAATCATTGGGGCCACTTAATGATCATATGGAAAAGATTTGTTCTGGTAGAAAAGACAGAAACTCACTGTGTTTTAGACTGACTAGAAGTTGGAGGTACTAAATAAAATAAATGCATAGGATATTCTAAATCTAATCATAATTTCTCTATACCTAAATTGGAAGTGGTCCAATCAATAGTATTGAATCAAGTTAATATAACTGTTTTGAAGGAATAAGGATAAAATGTAAAAGTGAGTAGTAGACAAAGTATAACCTTTCTTTTAAAAGAGGTCATGTGCTTCTCATCTACAATAAAGATTTCAGAGCTGCTCGTAGACGATACAGATTCCATATCTGGTTGTGGAAGACTGAATGATAAAAATCAGGTTTATTGAATATTTAAACTTAAGTACTTACGCGGTGTGGGTTTTATAACTTGAAGATTGTCAGATCTCTTTTTGTGGTCGTCAAACTGCAGCTCGCGAGCCACATATGACTCTTTGGCCCCTTGAATGTGGCTCTTCCACAAAATACCACTGCCTGGGGTCAGTCTATTTGAAGAAGTGTCGTTAGAAGAAGTTTAAGTTTAAAAAATTTGGCTCTCAAAAGAAATTTCAATCGTTGTATTGTTGATATTTGGCTTTGTTGATTAATGAGTTTGCCAACCACTGTCTTAGATGGTTCTTAGAAGGGACATGTAAACAAAGAAATTGCATGTTGAATTGGTGTTCAATTTTCTTACTGAGGAACTTAAGACAGTTACCATGGTAAGGGTTGGGAGAATACTAGTGTCTCTCTCAGAGATGCAATACAAAGAATTGTGCAATTCCACAGTAACTACTTTTATGGATTAATAGTTAGTATAATCTTTGTAGAATTCACTTCTTTTTTTTAACCTGAGCCATCCCTGAGTTTTTTGTATAAGGCTACTTGCTCTGCAAAGTTGTACCTCTGTCTGAAATGCTTCCATAAAGCTTCAAAGAATTCTCTCTTGCTTTTTTCCTGATATTTGTTGAACAGCATTTCATAAATTCTCATTCAGCCTTTGTCAGATTTTAGAGATTGTCACCATATATTGTAGTCTTTATCTTTCTGTACATACTTGTCTCTAACCTTATTGCCTGTCTTATTGATCATTCTGTTTACTTGAGTTGTTTGGTTTTGCATTGCATCTTTCTTCAGGTAATATAAAGAAAACTGGACATAGAACAGGACTTTGGTATACACCATGACTTTATAAGGGACCAGAAGAGTGTTTTTAAGACTTTTTTTTTTTATAATGCCTTACATTTTGTTTGTCATTTTGGCTACAGAATCACAGTCTCTTGTGTATTCTGAAAATAGTCTGTAACAGTGCTGTCCAGTAGAAATTTAAAAAAGCTTAGAGATATGAGCCGCAAAATACATTTTCTTATTTTTAAAATATTTTTATTGACTGAAGAGAGGAAGGGAGAGGGAGAGATAACAACATCAATGATGAGAGAGAATCATTGATGGACTGCCTCCTGCATTCCCTCTACTGGGGGTCAGCCCACAACCCAGGCATGTGCTCTTGACTGGAATTGAATCGCAGGCTGACGCTCTATCCACTGAGCCAAACCGACTGGGGCGCAAAATACATTTTTTAAAAAGTGGAAAAGAAACAGGTGAAATAAATTTTAGTACTATTTAACCTAATTTCAACATGTAATTAATATAAAATTACTAATGTAATATTTCCCTTTTTTGTACTAAGTCTATGAAATATGGTGTATATTTTACATTTATGACATATTCCAGTTAAGACCAGCCTTATTTCAGTTACTCAATAGCTACATGTGGCTGCAGGTATCTAATGGGACAGGGCACACCTAATAACTCCCCAGTCCATTTCCTAGAATTGCAGACCTGAGAGAGAATCAGAGTTCATCTAATTCTATACCCTTCTTTTTCTACTGAGGGGGTACTTAGCTTTGTAGTGTTTATGATTTGTCTGAAGATGCCCGACTAAGCCATGAATTAGGTTGGAAAGCCTCCTTGTG